TTCAGGACCAAACCTGCCCTGCTGCAACCCACATTTGACCATCATTTTCTGTCTCCTGGGCCCCTGACTTTTGCAGGGGAGTGATGTCAGAATGGAAAACAATCAGAGCCACTGCAGGGTGAAGCTGTTTGAGTTTCTTCAGCTTGCTGCCTGGCTCCCCTCATGAGGCCCAGTTGTCCACTGGGACCTTCAATTCTCTGAGTAATTCCACATTCTTCCAGGAGATTCCATTTCCCCCTCTTCAGACTGGCTGGGATCTGGTTCTGTTACTCTCAACCAAACGCAAATGGATGCCCACTTTGAGCCGCAGGAGGGCTGTGGTCTGGCCCCGGCTCTGCGGCCGAGGAGGGCAAATAAATAGAGAAGGACAAGAAGGGGGATTAATCGTCAAACCAGAAATTGTTTTTCTGGCCTCCCGTGGTGGCAAGGGTGGGAGAGGGCTCACTGTTTCCACAACTTTTTCTCATCCCCTCCCTCACTTCCTTCTCATGAGATCCCTGGGAAGTGCAATCCCCACATTCTGAAATGAGGCAGCCTGCTCATGGCTCCAAGGTGGCCGAGAAAGCACTTCATCCAGACTCTACCACGCTGCCACCGCTTTCTGTCCCTGGGAGAGAAGTCGGGGAGATGGCCACCCCTGGGAGACATTTCTTTAATCCTATCTTTTAGAGTCTTAGGACTTTTTGTTGTTTTAAGAGTTGGAAGGGACTCTCAGAGAGAGCCCCAGAGAGAGATCCTGACCGCCAGGCAAGTCTGGGTGAGGTGAGCTGGAACCTGCTCTTTGAGCTCGCAGTGGAATGTTCTGAGTCTCCTCACTGCTCACAGTGTGGGCCCTGGACCAGATACATGAGTGCCACCTGGGAGCTTCTTAGAAAAGCAGCCTTTCTGCCCCGCCCCGGCCCTGACCTACCAAATGCATTACAGAATACTAATCTGCATTTTATCTGATTCCAGGTGTTTCTATGCATGTGAAAGTTTCAGAAGCTTTGTGTATACCTGGTGTGATATTGTCCTTCTGTGGTCCTGAAGGAAACAGTAAGCCAATACATCAAGGTCTGGTTTCTAGTCCTGTGAGGAGCTCTCTCTTCTCGAAAGCTTCCATTTCGAGTCACTTTTGAGGAGGATCCCTGTGAATTGTGAAATTCAATCTCTTTGTCTTTTCAATAAAAGCCACCTGTGTGTTAGGCCTGAGGACTTTTATAGCTAATTAATTACAGAGATACTTGCCTGTTGCAAATGGAAATACTTAACATGATCCTAATCAGTGAGTTTATTAATCTATCCTTGGTCCTTTTGACTGACATCCATTCTCAGATTTTATTTTTCACAGCATATTAGGTTAAGAAGTGGATTCATTGATTTGTTTCCCAAGAAACAATGGTTGTTTGTGTGTCCTGATGTGATCCCTCGCTCGTGGACAGCTTGGCCCTTGTTCCCAGGAGTTCATGGTCTGTTTGGAGTTTATGGTTTACAGTTCTGGTTGGAGAGACAAGATTGTGCTCAACTCCTATATTTCATGGGTGAGCCAAACTAGGCACAGAGCTGTGGGAGACTGAGAGGCTCCAGGTCCCAGTGGGAGCCTGGAGCTCTCTGAAGAGCAAGTAGGTTCCCCCAAGGAAGACTGTCCACAGGTGCAGGGCACGGCCTCTGCTGGTGAGGCACCCTGAGGCTAAGGTGGGTCCTGAGTCAGGGTCAGACGGGCACAAGGATACTGAAAAGCACAGTCCGACTTACTCAGGAGTAAGTCCAACTTACTCTGGACCGTAAGTCACAGCAGTTTATATTCTAACAAGTCCCTGTGAGGTAGACATTGTGACTGATGTTTTATAGATTTCAGGACGATGAGGCTAACGGAGGTTAAAAAATTCAGTGAAGATCCCATGCCTGGTGGAACCAGGGTCCATGTGTGTTGCCTTCCTCTGCTGCCTGCCCAGAGGTGGGTCGTTCATCCTTCTGCCCCAGTCAGGCTGGGCTGCAGTCCCAGCAGTGCTGGGCTGGAGCGAGAGATGAAAGGGCCCCAGCTTCAGAAGAGGAGGTGTGCCAGGCTTGGCCTGAAGCAGAACTAATAGATCGATCAAGGTCACAAAGCAGCGTTGGCTCTGATGGGATCCAGACGCCGGTCCTTCTTCCCTGGTGTAATGCTGCATGGAGACAACTGTTACCTGTCCCAATTCTGGGACACTGAGCTAAAGGGCTAGAATGGCTGGCTGCAGGGCTCAGCGGAGAGCGAGCTCTTCCGGTTGGGCTGATGGAAGAGGAAGAATGGCTGAGGGGTGGTCCAGAAGTGAGAAGAGACTCTCTTGAAGGGAAGTAGCCTGCTTTCCTGCTCATTAGCCTGGTGAGGTGACCAAGACCTTTCTCCTGGGAGTTGGCGATTAAGACCCTGCTCAGCTGGGTTCTTGCCCCAGGATGTGCCTGGCCAGCGAGGGCTTGGAGTACAGAGCCAGGCTGCTGCTCTCCTCTGGTCTTCAAGACCAGAACCTCTGGGTGACCCTGACAGCTGAGCCCCAGACCATGTCTGACTTGCTCTGACTCCCCATCCCCCCCACCCTGGGGCACACAGAGTCCCCTCCCAGCTACCGATTCCTGGCCTTTACCTCTCCAGCACAGCCCTGAGGCTGCACAGTCACACAGGTCCCACCCGGGGTCATCTAGTGAGGCCCTGAGCAAGAGGTGGGGGTCAGCTGCTTTCTTCCCGCCACTATTCTGGGTCTGTCCACCCACACACCCGAGTCCTCTGGGACAACTCCCTTTGCACCCTGAGGCCAGTAGAGCTGAGGCCCTGTATCCAAGTTCAGCTCACAAGAAGGTCAAGGTGACCCAGAAGGGCTTATGGCCAAATCCTTAACATTTTTTTTTTTACTTTCCACAAAGGCCAAGTCAGTGATGACTTCAGGACGTGGCGTTCCAGAAAAAACTGAGGAACATAAGTCTCTCTTGGTTGGGGCAATGTAGCAAAAGCCCCTAGAGGGTGAGATCTCTGAGTATCACATGGTCAGAAGACCCCTGTGCTGGTTAGCCTCAGTGGGCCTGCCTGGTGGGTGCTGAGTTTTCAAGGAGCTGTCAAGAGGGAGACAGAATGAATGTTTCTGGAGGGCAGGGACTAAATCAACACTAGTGTTGGAAAATCTCCAGCATGTGAGCCTGGAAAATGTTCCTGCTGCAAAACAGAGTTTTCTGGGCGGCTGCTAGTCCTTCCACAACCTGACTGAAGTCACCAGGCAAGGGTCTGGCAGCTCTGACTAGCCGGAGGCTGTTCACCAATTAGATTGTTTCAATGCTGAGAGAATTACTGAAATACAACATTATATTTGGACATTCTGTCTGGGGAGAGCACTGTCTTGCAAATAAATGATGGGCAGATGGGCTTTTGAAGCAGAGGGTCAGGGAGCCCTGAGGAACTTGGTCTGGGGCCTCTCTCCAATGACTTTGGTCTGTGACAACAAGTAAAACCAAAGAGTTTCCCTCCAAGTTGTGTTAGCTACCGTTCCTGATGTCCTGAGAGGCTGGCCCTTGGGCTCTGTATCACCTGAGATCCCTGCCCGGCTGGCTTCCAGTTGAGTTTGGCCAGGGGAGAGAAATGTTGGGGTTTTTCCACTCTGCTCCCGCTCTGGCAGGAGCTGTGGCCTTCCCCAGCCCTTCCATAGAGGTCCATCTGCTTCCCCATGTTCCTTCATCACACACACAATTTGGGCTCTCCTGGGGCTCCTGTGACACTGTTTTGTTCTTCTGCTCCTTCAGAGCCACTGCTGCTAGGCTTGAGGCATCTTGCCTCTGTGAGCAGTGTCTTCAGGAAAGGCTCTCCATCGAGCCCTCTGCAGGGCCTGCACTCCTGCAGGATCCTGACAGACAGAGGCCAACCTCCTGGTTATAACAAGCATATTCCACACTGTCTGCATTATTGCTGTTCTTGCTGGGTCCTGAGTCTTGACTTCTCCCTATGAGAGCAATAATGTGGAGCAGTGGGCAGGAGCAGGGGTGAGCTGTGTGGTGGTGGAGGGGGGCGGGACACTAGAAGGCTCTGATTTGCCGTGGCAGCTGGGAGTGGCAGGGCTGGGAGCTGGGCACTGGCAGGGACAAAAGGGAAAAGGAGCCTGGGGAAGAAAGGAGGGGTATGTGACCCAGCAAGCAGCCTCTCCAGCAGACATTAGCTTCCAGGTCTGCCTGAGTGGGTGGGGATAGAAGGCCTTCGATCCCATGTGGTCCCATGGATGGTGTCTTGTTCCCCTCCTTTCTGAGCACAGTCCTGTCCTGCACTGCTCTTCCTCATGAGAATTGATCTCTCCTCAACATCTGGCACCCAAATGCCAGCTTACTGTGTCCTCAGAACCCAATTAAATCCTATTTCTATTCCGACCAGCAAAAGCTTGACATGTTGCAAGGATCGCTCAGGCTCTCTTTACATGGAGACAGAGGGCACAAGAGAATGTGAGAGCCAGTCATTTCGGATCAGGGAGGGCAGGACTTGGTACACACCCAGAGGTTTAGGAAAGAAAAAAGGAGGTAAAACTGTGGGAGATGAGGGAATGAGGGAAATACGAATTAAAAGTGTGTGTGCCTAATGGAAAAAGACAGGAAAAATCTTTATTCTGTGACCTGCAGTCTTTGTTCTCTTTGCCATCAACTGACCACCTCAGACCTAGGGAGCAGGTGGCAAAACTTGTTGGTGGGGGTGAAAACTTCATGCCCAACCTCACGCTCCTCTCATAGCCTCTTATCCCTAGTTGCTTCCCCTTTCAGGATCCCAAGTGGGTGGCTTGGTTTAAATAAGATCTTGTTTCTGTTCCATCCTGAGCTACCCTGGTCACTCCTCAAGCAAAATATCCCGATGGGGTGGCTGCTGAGAAGAGGTGTCGGACCCCTGGCTCCTTGGCCAGAGATACATACCAGGTAGAGCAAGGTAGAGCAAGGTAGAGTGTTGTAGTGTGTGAGGGATATAAGGATATATCCTTATTTGCAGACACACCTAAGGTTCATTTATGACATCAGATTCTCACCAGCTGGATTGCCTGGCCAATATCCCTGCTGACACAAGGTAAGGGTCTCCCCTAACAGTCTGCTAGTCCTGCTCATAATCAGATAAATTAGCATGGAGACTTCTGTAGCTTTACTTTAGCCCATGGTTCGGGGTTCCATTAACCCCTTAGATTTTATGGCTCCTAACTGCATTTCTTCCAGGTCTCTCCTCTCTGGTCCCTTTCCATAGTGCGGAGGGTGAGGAGGGAGATCGCACATGGAGACCAAGACCAGAGTATGGTGATGGTGGCCAGCCCGTGCTGGCCACACATCACTGATATTTTCCAAGATCATGTTAAGAATTGACAGGTATGAAGCCATTTAACAGGATTCTTTCCCAAGTCTGCCCAAGCCCATTTTCCAGCCAAAAGATGAAAAGGAGACATTCGGTTCTCAAAAATTTTATTGAGATGTTGAGGAGAAACAGCCAACATATACATTCCTCATTTCGTCACAATTGGCATTTTACCCACACGATAGGTTCTTCTCTGGCTGTCATCCTCTCATTGCTGCCTGGTGCTGTATGAAGTCCACCAGGACAGAGCCCATGGGTGGCATCACAAGTGGGAGCGGTAATTGCGATTGGCTGTAGGGGAAGGACATGGTTGCAACAGGGACACAGGTTAGAACATCCCCATTCTCTTCCTGCCCCAGTGGGAACTGAACTGGAAATTAAATTCTCAGGCCGAGATTCTGGGTCTGGGAGAAGCCAACTCCAAGAGGGCGGGCCCCTGGGGTGAGTCCCCCATGTTTGACTGCTCGCCTGCTTGTCCCTACTCACCATCATCGCCCCGTTTCCTACTCTTCAAGCTTCCTTTCCGGTATTTTCTTTTGCTGCCACATCTCTTCACTCCCTTGTGAGGAGCTCGGTTCTTGCCCCTCCTCATGCCATGGCTCTTTAATTTGCGGCTGGTCGACATTGTAATTTCTGCCAAAATGAGGGGCTTTGCAGGGCCTGGAGGCCAGGAGTCTGGGTATTTAAGGCCTTAGCCATTGTGACTGTGAAGGGGTGTGGCTTAGCAGATGGGTGGGGCTCCACTGTGATGTCAGTGGCCTTTGTTACACTTGGGTCATATATGAGAAATAAGGTGGCCCCTCTAATGCAACTCAAGGCTACCCTCAATTTTGAGGCCCTTTTTATGTTAAATGAGGATTTCCAGACAGGTGTTATTGAGCAATTCAATTTCAGTTCTGTCCCAGGCATCTGGGGAGTACAAGATACCATTAGAATAGGTATCTCCTGCCTGTAGGAAATTTAATGGCTTCGTTGAGTGTGGGTATGTGTGTGTGTTTCAATCTCTTACAGCACTGGGAGATCACAAATGTATTTCTGTAAGGATGTGACTCTATGAAATCCAATCCAATATGAGCAAAATAAAAATATTCCTTCTCTTTCCTCTAACTATGACACTATGGGGTGAATAATTTCCTGGGACTGTCCTGTTCATCAGAGGATGTTAGAAAGCATCCCTGACTTCTACCAGTAGATGCCAGTAGCTGTGACAACCAAAAATGTTTCCGAACATTGACTTGGGGGAGGGGTACAATCACCCTCTATTGAGAACCGTTGGCTTTACCATTTAAAAAAATTCGGTCATCAAATATTTATTGATCATCTAATATATGCAATGCACTTAGGTGCTAGAAAAATAGTTATGGATAAAACCAGACATAGACCTGTTTTCATGGTGGCTTTCAGCCTCGTCAGGGAGAAAGCCATCAGAAATCTGCACAAATCAGTAAATAATCACTTCCCAACAGGCTTCAGGATAATTACATCTTGACATGGTGCAGGATGAGGTTGGAGAGAGAAGCAGAAACCAGACTAGGCTCACGTGCATTGGGAAACCCTGGAAAAATGTTTATGAGAGTAATGTGACAAGATTATGTGGAAGGTAGATTGATGGGGATGTAGAGTGAATAAAGGGAGATTTTAGCACTGATAGTGGTGGTTCAGGAGAGAGAAATATTTGATAATGGCTCAGGCCTGGGCCAGAAAAGGTGTTGATCAAGATGTAGAGATGTGGACAGGAGATACAGACTTGGTGACAGATGGACTGGCTTTGGTTGGTGACAGGAGAAGGTGCAGAAGGTGTGGCTTTATTTTGTGTAATACAGCTATCTGGATGCTGGTGCCACTCCCTGGGATAAAGTCTAGGCATGGGAACAGGGGTCATCATGCATTTTGGTTTAAAACATTTCAGGTTTGAGCTGCCTTTGAGATTTCCAAATAAAGATATTGTATGATTGCTGGGTTCATGGGTGTGGAGCTCCAAGTAGAAGCATGAGCTGGAGATATCCACCCTCTCCAACTTCCCCAGCAATGGATTCAATAGCCAAGCTTTTCTTCTCCCTCCTTCATACCTTATATTCAGTCCTTTGAAAAACATTTCAATGGAACTGGGTCATTACTTCCTCTTTCTGTCCTTTCTCTCTCCCCTGCCATCATCCTCATTCAAGAACCAAGCACCTTTCATGCATCATGTTCTTAGCAAAAGTTGGTTGACTTTTCTAGAGAAGAGAACTAGTTCAAGTTCCACTCTCAGCATTTCTGATGTCTATAGGTAAAAGGACAAGTCATGTTTTGAAACCCAGATTCCTTGAAAGCCACCATAATGGACATTTTCCATTATCCTGTTTCCAGGTGGGTTCTGTTGGAGACTTTGATTCCCTCAAAGAGGGAGGACCTCTAGAAATAGGCTGTGGGTTTGCCTTGTATCTTGGGACTTTCTTGTACACTCCAGTCTTGTTTCTCCTATAAGCAAGATCCATGAAAGCAGAAGTTTAAAACTTATGTTTTGCTGCTCTGTGTTCTTGAGGCCTTGAACAATCCTTCCACAGAGCAGGACCCCAATAAGGACCCAATAAGGGTTGAATAAATAACAAATCCTTCAATTTTTCTGACTATCTAAATCCTCCCCATTTTGTCCCACCTCTCCAGGGAAGGCTTCCTTGACTTTTCAAATTCTCATTGTTCTTTGTAATTTGTCCAGTGTTCATGGTCCTTAATAGGGTTCTCAAAGTCAACCAAACCTAAGTGTGTGACAATCTGTTCCATGCCCATATTGCTGTGTAGTATCATGAGTCTGATCTCAAGAGGAGGCATTGTGTCTTGGTTCTTGTTCCAACTGTGCCCTAAGTATCACGTCTTTGGACTTCATTCTCTTTATTTTGTAAATAAACTGGTTGGGTTAGGTGATCTCTGACATTATCTGACTTTTGCGGTAGGCACCTTATAGTTAGAGGTTGTATTTTTTATTTCTACTGCATTTTCCATGGGTACTGACATAGTCCACGGTAGGTGGTCAATAAACATTTGTTCATTCTCACTTCTTGGGTATTATGAGGATAGAGAGTAAGACACAGAATGACTCTGGATACCACATAGGAGTATTTCTAGACAGGGAAGGGTCAAAAAGACATTGTCTCCATCATAGGCCCCCTTGCTCCTGTGCCTGCTGACTAAAGCATTTGCAGAGGAACTAGCCTCATTAGTTGGAAAGACATTTTCTGGATGGTCCTGGAGACTGGATAACATTTCTCTCCCCACTGCCCTGAGTCCATTCCATCCCCAAAGACCCACTCTGCCCGGGGGAAGTTGAGATCACAGGGAATAAGGCAGCCAGACTTGAGAACTGATGAACAAACAAGAAGAGTTCCCTTTTGCCTACGGTTAAGGAATGTGGTTTCAGACACCCATGCTGAGAAAGTCCAGCAGCAGAGAGCCCATTGTGGGGGGAGGCACTTGCAGGCCAGTTGGGGCTGGGGCTGTGGGTGTTTGGGTTGGCTTCTGGCTCAGGCCTCCTGGACTGAGGACAAAGCAGGGTTGAGCATTGGGCACTGCTGCCCGTCTCTGTTTCTCTTTCCATTTCTGCCCCAGTGTTGCTTGAGCCAAGGGCAATTTAGATAGAGCACAATGAGTTCACTCCTGACCTTTAGTGGACCTGAAGCCATTTTTTTTTTTTTTGAAAACTGTTTGTGAATCCAGTCTGCTGGCTGTCTTCTTATCTCTAATTCTGTTCTTTTTATTTCCTCCTCCTCTTCTTTTTTGGATGAAGAAACTGAGGCACAGAGTGTTTACATGAGCTCCTTCAAATAATCCAGCACAGGAATAACAGAGATGCCCAATAGAACAATTTCCTCCATGCTTTGGCTTCTCTGGTGGGTCTTCGCTTTATTTCTCTTGATGCAAGGAAATGGATATTTTCTGATATTGCTAAGGGGACATGGAGAGAGAACTGAAGTCCTTGTCTTTTTGAAAGGGGAACTATCAGCCCTCTCTGTCTTGGCGCAGAGTGTTATCTTGCTTGAAAACAGGTGGATAAACAGAATAGTAGTCTTTATCTCCCAGAAGGATGACCAAAGTGGTGTTGCAGGGAAGAGTTTGGAAGCCAGCACTCCCAATGGCCCCTCTCTTAGGTTAGGAAGGGGCAGAGGCTTTGGGCGTCACTGTTTTAGAAGTCAGATATCTAGAGGGGTCCCATCTCACCTCTTCAATTCAAACTCACTCTATTAATTTTCCTGGTTAGTCCAATAGATGTCTTCTTCAGGGCTGGATCTCCCCAGCAGGCCAGGAATTGGGGTTTACTAAGAAGGAAAATGGAAAAGTTGCTGACAGTCCTTATACATGTTGATGACTCAGTCTGAATCCCTTTCTGAAACCTAAGTCTCTCCAGATGTTGACCTCAGCTGAGAAGTGGGGACCTTCTACCTTGTTCACATGCATGCTCTGTCTTCTTTGCTCTTTTTCTTGCTGTTGCCGCTGCTGTTTGGGCAGGTGAAGGGGGCTCAGGGAAAGGCTATGGGATGAGAAAGCTGCTGAGAGAGGGGTCTCAACAGGGGCAGCAGTCTCTGAGCTCAGGACTCATCTGATGTCTCCAGTAGGGAATGAAGAGAAACCAGAGCCCAAAGCCAAGGAAGGAGGGACCTCGACTCCATTTGCCTCTTTCCATCCAGTCTGGGAAAAAAGGAAGGATCTTGTTTCTGAGGATGTCTAGGTTCTGCCTGAAAATTTGTTGAGATTCTTTCCTCATTTGTCCTCCAGGCTCCTTTCCCATCCTTGTTGACTGCTTTCCTAAACTGTTTTTCCATAAACAATTTCTGTTTTCCAGGAAGAGAGAGTTTGGGCTGCTAAAAGGCAGGTGACATATCACAAGACCAGTGGTCCTGCTAGGTTCCTCAGGAGTCACCTCAACCCCCTCCTTTTGGAGGTCAAGAGGCTTGTCTAAGGGCTGCACCCTGGCAGTGCAAAAGACATGGCTCGACCCGCAATTGCTGATTCCTATGCCAGAGACTACCCACTGCTCTTTACTGCCTTCACTCTCCATCTTTTGCCTTCTCTGCCTTACATGTGCTGCTAGGGTCACGGTGAAGGAATCTAATACTGAAGGAAGACAGAGTACTGGGTGGGGGGCATAGTGAGTTCTTAAAGGTAGGGTGTGACTTTGGAGGTCTTCTGTACAAATTTGAAATTCTAACTTGGAGAGAATTCAAAGTTTTATTTTTGGACTTACAATAAGTTATTTGAATATGTCCATTCCTTTTGTAACTATTAACAATAAGACCACATTATGTAATAGTACACAAAGTAAATCCAAATTTTATGCTTCTGAAGCTTCCAAATAAAGTTTCCACATTAACTACTCCCCTGACCCCACTGACCATATGACCTGTCTATACCACAGTGAAGGAGAAGCTCTCCCTTGCTGGAATGCACTGGGGATATAGTTCCCTGCAGCCATAAGGCAAAAACAGGGTTGTGGCCTGAAAATAGAAAGGGGGTATTACCATATGAAACTATCACACATATTCCATTATTTGGCTTCATGTGGTCTTTAGGAACAAATGTGTTTTATCCATCCACAAACTGGAGTAAAGAACTTTGAGTTGGTAGGGTTGCTAGAAAACAGTTTCATAATAAATTGGTCTGGGGATGAAGGGTAACTTGGCCAAAGTCACAAATTATAGGCAAACTTAGATCTCAGGCCCGGATCTCTCCATCTCCAGTCCAGGTTTCTTGCCAATCTGCCATCAGGCACTACTGTTAAAATTTATGATCTTTCCTCTCTTTCTTCCTTTCTGTGCTCTCTCTCTGGTTTTCCCTTCAGCCTTCATGTTCTGGGAGCCACATGCCAGGAACCTTTGCCCTTGAAATCATCCCACCCACCAACCACCATCATGTCACTGAGTTTGAGGATGGCTGCCCTGTGAAAGGAAGAGGAGTTGTCATCAAAAATAGCCAAGGATCAGAGTGACAGACTGTTGCCACAGTCAAGGGTCAATGCCTTTATACTTTCATTGTAAGGCATTGTGACCAATATGTTGGTAGGGTACATTGGCCAGAGGAAACTCTCAGTATTTCTGGATTATTTTTAATATAATTGCCTATTATAACTCTACTGACCAAAGTTAGGTCAAGGGAGAACATCATAATCCAATGATATCTCTTTGGTCTGTTAAGAAGAAGCTCCACTTCCTACTCTTAGTGGTGAGCAATGAGGGTGAAAGAGAGAAGAAATGTTGGTAGAACAATTTTAATTGCCTTTCAAGGATCTCAAGAATTAAAGCTGACAAAGAAAGCTTGTCTGACCGAATTGTTGCCTATTTGGTTTCTGCATTGTTCTTTTGAGCAGAATTCTCATATTTTAAAAAGTAGGTTTAGCTGTATTTATACTAAAGAATGGGAACAAAGTAAATCTTTCATAAATCCTGCAACTCTGTGGTCCAAAACACAAAGATCTGGTGACACTTTGCCCTTCACACACCCTATGCTGGGACAGCAGGTATGACTGTCTAGTGAAATCTTCAAACCAAAGCCTTCGCTTTCAATGTTGACCCTCTTCCCCCACCGATGCCCGCCCCCGCCCCCCACCAAAAGACGCAGATTCTTTGAGTGTTGCAGTGATCAGATTTTATTGATCAAGAATTCTCAGTGATGGGCAGTTTCATTTTTGTTCTGGGAGGAAATCTGGAGGGTAATGCCACAGAGGTGCTCTGGAGTTCTGGTAAGTACTGGTAATCACCATGTGGAAATATTTGTATCCCCTATAGAGCTTCGTCCTGCAATAGTTCTGGACACTTTTTCCATGCTGTAAGGAAGCAAAGACAAAATAGAAGTTATAAAATTCCCTGGTTAGGGTGAGAGTGTCTCAGAAGGTTCTTCAAATGGGCATACAAGGCCACCTTTGCATTTTCCAGATTTTTCCTTATGGTTTTGTTATCCTTTTAGCTATGGTTTGGCCTGGCTTCCTTGAAACTCCCTGCAATGCCTGTTCCTCATAAGCCATGTCTCCCTGGAATAAGCTACATTTTTTGTGGGACCCAGGGCAAGATGATTACACTGGCCTCTTGTTAGAAGATATGATCTGGATCGTGATAACAGAGCATAAACCAAGGCTCAAGTCCCCCAAGTACAGGGCTGTTTCTCTTCTAATGTAAACATCCAGATCGAGACATTGCTATCTAAGTCATCTTTATAATCCAGGAGAGCTGGTTAAGATCTTATTCATAATGGGGGCTTGATGAATACTTGTAAATGGCTTGCTTCTCAATGAGGACATGCCATGTACCTGAGAATGAATGAAGCCTCTTTAGTAATGCCTTCATCAACACCTCCTCTCTCCCCTCCAATTACACATTCCCCAAATGCTCCCTTTATTCCTCCTACACTCCCCCAGGACCACATAGTCAAGAACTCACCAGTTGCTTTCCTCTTCCTCCCCCATGTTCTCCTTTGTGGTACATTTTTCTAAGCTCCTGAACAAAGTCCTCTGAGTCCTAAGGGATGGGCAACATTGCTGTATCGGTCATGGTAGGCTGGCTGACTGGGTGGCTGCACTCAGTCATGGTAGATGTTATAATCCCAACATGGGTTTTCTGGTTATTTACCAGAAAATGGTTTTCTGAGCCTTAAGATGGGGCAGGGGGAGCATCTGAAACTAGGCCACTATGGCCTGAGACTTCCCCACTCTGGGATGTCACAAAGTCTGTATGAGATCAGCGACCAAACTACAGGAGAAGGGCTGAGCAGTAGGACCTCAGATGATTTCCTTCAACATTTAGTCAGACTGATTTTTCTGGATCCAAGCCTCTTGACCTACCAAACTTGGATATATTATTTCATTTCTCTGGTCTTAAAGATCTTCTTTTAGTTAAAGCCAGAAGGACAGGGACTCAATGGCAATCCTATTACTTTACTAATGAGGAAACTAAATGCCCAGTTGGAAATTACGTCCTTATAGGCTTTGGGAAATTGCTCAAGGACACATAAATACTAAATGACAGAGGAGGGAATTAAATATGCATCTACATAATTTTAGTGCTTTTGTACAGTGTCGTCTCATGTATTTGCTGCCATGGCAGATAGAGGCAGGAAGTTTAATCACCTAGGGGGTGACATATACTTAATGTTCACCAAGAAGATAAATATGGACAAAAGGCTTGAATATTAAAACCCAGAGGACACTGGCCCAAGTCAGTGATGGGGATGGAGAAGAAGAGGTGGATTATAAAATGCTGAGGTGACTGAGGAGAGGAAGGGAAAGAACTATGAAGGGAAAGTTTGAATCCTAGACTTCTGTCCTGAGTGAATAAGCACCACAACCTCCAGCAGATACTAGAGCAGCACCTACATTTGGACAGAAAATACTGGTTTTGGTTTTACACAGATGGAGATGTCTACTGGACAGACCTAATATACACTACTATGTGCTCAGTGGACAAATGAGATATAGGTATCTAGGTTGATGAGGTAGAGCTGAGTATTGGCAAAATAGAGTTTTGTATAGTTGAACCTACAGGAGGTGAAGAGGTGGTCTAGGGACAAAATTATGGGATTTGTCATCAACATTTAGGCATTTCAGGGGAGGCAGCTGAGGGAGGAGACAGCAAAATAAAACTCAGGAAAGAGTGAGTTTGCAAAGGAACATGAAAGCGCCAGATGTGGGGTGCCTCTGGCACTCGCTGGAGTGCCAGGTGCTGTGTAGACACTGGAGGAACCTCATCTCATTTTTCAGTCCTACCTTATTTGACTTTGTAGAGCATGTGACATTTAGGGTCCTGCAGAGACAGAGTAGGGGGTGTGGTCAAGAGGGCAGTGGGTAGAGGAGAGACAGGAGGTGAGGTAGTGGAGATTAGAGGGTTTTTTTTTTAAATTTTATTTCTTTTCAGCGTAACAGAATTCATTGTTTTTGCACCACACCCAGTGATCCATGCAATACATGTCCTCCTTAATACCCACCATTAGGCTCCCCCAACCTCCCACCCCCTGCCCCTTCAAAACCCTCAGATTGTTTTTCAGAGTCCATAGTTAGAGGTTGTTTTTGAGCAAAAGAAGGTAAGCCTTCTATTTAACCACTATTCTCTGACATAGAAAGTTCTTGCAGACTCACTTTACCCATATTTCCTTCACCCCTACCTGACCTTAACTTCCTCCTTTAGAGATAGATAAGTCTGCAGTTTGGGATGTACATCCAGTCCTGACTGGTCCTTATTATTTCACATTTGTATCTTCCTTCAGGCACCTTACACTCTGGGAGTACAGAGCCAAGATAATAGTTTGTGCTTGGAACAGTGCCAGGAATGTGGTAAGTAATCTAGAGATATTAACTTATTTATGTAATCCTTACATCAACTCTGTGAGGTTGATATTATTATTGCAGTGTTCCAGGACCAGCGGTGTTGGGTAATTTGTCCAAGACCCTGCAGCTAATAAATGGAGGAGCTGAGATGTTCTTGAGTGAGAAACTAGATTGATTTTTCATGTAAGACATATTTTACAATTTTTAAAAAACATTGAGCACAAAGATAGGCACTTAAGAAATTGTCAATAAATCCTTGCCAACTGAGAGGTGGATTACTATTATTTATCAACACAAAGTTCTTGAATAAAGATATCTTGTTCACAAAGTATAGATTTATTCACGCATTTGATGTGTGTGAGATGGGGGAATCCATGTTGATATGTACCTAGGTTGGTGAGTTCTCAGGCATGTGTTAGTCATAATTTCAGATCTCACAAACACGGCTCTATTACTTCTTTTCTGTCCATTCCCCACTCTGACCCATGCCACCATGAACGCATAGGAAAGAGCACAGAAACACACAGGCCCAGAGGCAACCACAGATCCTCAATACAAATTTGGATGAATAAATCAGTAGTTCTATCAAACCATCTCAGGACATAATATCATGATCATGATCAATCCTTTTAGTTTAAAGATCTGAATTCTTTGGATGTGGAAACAGCTGGATTGTTAGTAACTTATGGTGAAAGAGGACATAGAATAAATTAAACTCAACTTCACAAATGAGTATATAGGTTGTTTAAATACAACTCTATGTCCCTCTTTTTCTTCTCTCTCTTTCTCTCTTTCCAATCTTTGTTACATTCCCTGGGACTAAAACCTTAGGTCTTATGTTAAAAGAAAAAGAGTATTGTAGAACTTCTTGTCTCCTAGAGTGTGCAAGAGGCAGAAAATTAGAGGGACTGTGGGAGGTGCTTGAATCATAACCTCCCTTGTCCCCACATGAGCTGGATCCTCTTGGAGGGGGAGAACCATTGTTCAGGAAGTGTGCTTGAAAACCAAGCTTTGAAGGAAAAGAGAAGATGACTTATGTCTTGGGGGTCTCCCTGCCAGTTTTTGCCTTCTGGCACCACCCAACAACCATCCAGGTGTGTTCCTGCAGTCTTCCCTCTCCTTACTTGTCCATGTTGAGTCGTCCTTCATGATGCTGATGTTTTCATGTGCTGGGGTGGCAGCCCTTGACCAATCCCTGTTACTTAAGGATTAAATGATTATTGAAGCTACTTGAATCTCTATTTTCATGCCAACTGTTTTCCAAATAAATTTCCTAAAGCAAAACTAATCATGTCACTCTTGTTCAAAACATTTGGGAAACTCTTTACTGCCTTTGAAGTTTTCATATTGGCCCTCTCAACCTCAACCTTGCTTTCTAGCCATGTCTTCTGTTCTCACCCTCAGGGAACCTCTGCTATTTCAGCTAAGTTGGGTTATTTGAAATGCAGAAATGTACAGGTGTTGATGGGAAATTCAGTGTCTTACTTCAACTATTAAATTTTAGCACCTTTACTTATTAAATATTTATATGTCCTTCAAGACTCAAAATAAGGTTCCAAATTCTATAATTACTTCTTCAATGAACTCTTCACATTTTGGATACATTTTATACCATTTACCAGATTCTGTCTAGAATTTTTTTGTATGCATATCTTCTCTTCCCAGATATTGAACTTCTTGAGGTTGAAGGTATATCTCTGTGAGGTTCTGGGGGATGGGGCAAGGGTAGTACATAACCAAGATAAGTTGGACTAGAGTTTTGAACTCCACATTGTTGTGGATTGGAGTTGCAAAGGGTTACAGGGAAACTTTTGGGAGTGGAAGATATATTTATTATCTTGATTTGTGTAGATATATTTATGGGTGTTCAAATCCTTGCTACAAAAGTTCTTTCTAGAAATAAGATAATGGGACCGGGAATGCATACCTAAATGTGCCAGCTGATAAAGGCTCTGAAGATACTGGGTCTGAAAGGCCAGAACAATTTTACTTTGTTCGTATCTTTCAGGGTTGTTCGTATGGGCTATACTGATGGGCAGTCAGCTGATGCTAGCAGTCCTAATAGGTACTTTCTTGATTTTATCCAATTGTGTCACTACTCGCCAACCACGCAACCAAGCTCTTCTGTTGACTTTCAGCCATTGTGACAAGGCATCACCAATCATCAGGTCCTTTTACCAGGAGCTCCCATGTCATGGCCACTTGTCTTGTATATAAAGGGAGTGATGGGGGTGCTGCTTTGGACGAATGGACCTGGGGTGGGGGAAAGGGGCAGCAGACAGAGGCTGCCTTGGCAAGAAGATCTCTGCTGTTGGCCAGAAATCAGAAATGTAAGAAGATGGTGAAGTACTGTAGATGTAAGTGTTCAGTATGCCGTGTGAAGGATTCACTACAGAGAAAAAAATCAAAGAAATTATGCCAGAAAAAGAACAGGAAGACAAGGTATTGATGACATTTTCTTATTACAAAAGGGGGCTCTCAAACCTGAGGAATTGTCATCCTGGCTTACAGGCATTCCAAAATGTCATGCTTTTGGCAAAGCAAAGTTCTCCATTTGCCTTCTGGAGACTGTCTTCAATTCTTTCCTGACCTCCCTGCTCCCTGCAAAACCCCAGCTCTACCCTACTCTCCAGCAGTCCTGCCAAAAAACAGACTTTCTGCATTCATTACTTGCCTTCTTTATGCTAGAGCCTCCCTTGAATCTTCCCATTCAGTAGAGAGGTTGACATAACCCCTGGACCCACCTTTTTAAAGGTGAGTTTCTCAAACTCCCTGGTCTTATGTCTCATGAAATCTGAGAAACTGAGCTTAGAAGCTCCCTATATTAAAAAAAAAAAAACACATGGGTTTCCTGAATACAAATCTTAAGTTTTTTTTCATTCTTGTTTCCTTAGTCAGCAGCATAAGGCAATGCCCTGGTTGAAGACACTGCTTGACATCTTGTTTTTCCATGTCGTGTTTTCTCCCATGGACAGGAAAAAGAAAAGCCTCTCTTGGTGCAGGCCCAAGACCACCATGATCATCGTTGATTTTACATCTCCACCCCAGGGTGTCTAAGTAAAATCTCTCTCCTTTCACTGAAGAATGTGTTTTGTGTGTTTTTGCTCAGCTGAAAGGTAACCTGTGGCAACCTAGTGTACCCCTGCCTTTTCTCATGTCAACAGGAGAAGTGGGGTGCATAGGTAAAGGGATAATCAAGTGAGTCAGAGGAAAATACAGAGTTCCTGTTTAAGAAGCTCACTAATGAAATATATGGTTGGGTTTTGGCTTGATAGGTTGAGATGCTTTCTGGATATAAAAAGAACTTAACTTGGTTTGATAGACTGGTAGACCTTTTCGAGCTGGCTGGGCTGGGGTACAACAACTAGAAAACCCATAGCCAGATCATTAGTTTATACTTCTAGCTTCATTTGTTGGTAATTAGTAATGAAGGTGCCCATTTTTCTAGAAAAAAGTTCAGGTCACATCAATGTGGAGCCCAGGAATTGTAAACACGAAGAAGGGCCTAGAATGGCCTATGTGTATTTGGAATATTTATTTATTTATTTATTTATTTATTTATTTATTTATTTATATAAAAATATTTATTTGAGAGAGAGAGATATCACAAGTAGGAAGAGAGGCAGGCAGAGAGAGGGGGGTGGAAGCAGGCTCTCTACCACATCATCTCTGACTCCCAACACATTACCCTTAAGTTGCACAATCTTTAAAATCATGTGCCAGCCAGACCAAAACTGATCTATAAGCTTGAGGCCTCAACCCAATTCTCCTATCTTCTTTGCAACCTGAAAGATGCAGGAACTATTGTTTAGCGGATGGGTTTTGTCGTATTGTCTAGATATTGATGAGCTTTTTGTTCCTGATGGAACATGGGTTTCTCTGATGGTCAGTTTTCTCTTGGTGGGCACATTTGGTCTTAGCATGGGGTGGGGAGAGATTGTCCCTGGGCCCAGGAAAAGAGGCTCCTGCAATAATGTTATAGCACTGGATATAACATGTGGTATCATTAGATAGAACATGAGGTAACATGTTAGCTACAGCATTAAATAGAAGTATACCTTGCAATGGTACCCCACAGAAACAGGTTAGTTATAACATTATAACTAAGTCTATTTTGTTGTGGTGCCCTGTAGTAATATGTCATTGCTCTGTCTTAGGGTGGCACCCTGTCATAATGCTCCACTATATCTTGTAAATCATGTGTTGGCATACACTGGTGTAGTCTTGGAGAGAAGGCAAAAACAAAGGAGGCCAGTAGCCTTTCCTGATTCATCCTGGTGCCAGTTATCTATACCACACTCACCATTTTTGCCAGATTTACATAGAATGTGATGTTGTTCACATACATGTATTATTGAAGAGCTTATAGTCTAGAGTAAAAGTAGCAGCACAAGGAGACCTGCTTACCAGTTGCCCCAAGATTGAAATTAAGGGCAAGACCTTTGAATCTTAGTGTCTAAGGTATTAAATATTTATTGATGATTAAGCCCTGTATGATGTAAAAAAATCATGACCCTAGTTACACCTCACAGCCACTTTTGTGGGGAACCTTGAAAGTAAAGGGCCAGATAGTACACATTGAGTTTTGCAGGCAAAAGCAGCCACAGTAAATGAGTGCCCATATGGCCATGTTCCAACAAGATCTTATATGGAGTTTGTGCTAACTATTATTTCACTTATCTTGTTAACAATGATCTCAATTTTACAGCTGAAACACACTGAATAAACATACTGAATGACTAACTTGAAAAATCACTGAAAGGCGGAGGTAATGGAGTGTTCTTTCTACTCTCACAGTCCCCTGGACTAAAGCCCCCCAGGGTCTCATCCGGGCTCTGCCTGGGCCAGGAACTTCTTTCTTTGGGTCTTGCCTAAGTGTTAAACTTCATTCCTTTTCTAAACTCTTTGTGATCGTTTATCCTTTCTATTCATGGGCCGTCATCTCTTTCTGGATGTCTTCATGCAATGTGCCATCTTTCTACTTGTCTTGTTGGTAGTCTCAGGCTT